GAGAGCATGAGCTCAACCCTAGAAACGCCTACAGAAGCATGTTTTGACTTATTTTATTTTAGCCCTGTTGTTCATTTTGCTGTCCTTCACCTAGGGAAGCACGTGTCACTACAAATCGGTTCCATCTCTATGGCTCTCTCCAACTCCTTCGCTCTCAGATAATCCCACTTCCTGCTTCCCACAGAAAATGGAGGCCATCAAATGCAAACTCAACTTGGAACTACTGAGCCTACAAATAAATGCACCTGTATCTGTACCCAACCTTTTTTCTCTCTCTCCCATATAAAGGAAAGGGTGTTCATTCTGCCAAAAAAAGAGAGAGATGTGGGTACAGCAAAGCATTTGAGAAGAAAGCAAAATGACCTAGCTTGTTTCCCAGGTATCCAGCTAACGGTTATGAAAACAGAATACTTAGGAACAAAATTATGAGGGAACTCCCTCTCCTTATAGACTACCTGGGAGAAACAACAAGGAATTTAATATTAAAAATCAAAAGTATTTTACAAATCAAAAGAAAAACAAGCATGCATCAGCATCAGCAGGATGTGAAGGGTGGGTAAGGGAAAAGTTAGCAAAGGTCATCAGAAGGACACAGAAACGTGAGGTGTTTTGGAACCAGAGTAACTACTGAAAGCTAAATTGCTCCAGACATTCTGCTGAATTCAGGCAATTTAAAATAAATGGAGTTGAAAGAGCATTTAGAACGGGGTGACATGATAACACATCTATTATTGGATTTTGCAGCACCTTGAAAATAAAAATGAGATGCCTCACCTTTGAGGTCTATTTTAAACAAACAAGTGTTAGAATTAAACATTAGGATTGTTGAACCTAACACAGTGGAAAAGGACTACTAGACTCAAATGAGTATCATCAACAAAAAAGAAATTACCAGTATAAAACCTGCTTAAACATTAATGACTTAGATAAAGCATATAAAAAGTTATGAACTAAGCAAATGGGACTCCTTCAATCATGAGATTTTAAAAATCCTAATGAACATGCAGAAGAATTGGGGACTAAGCTGAACTAAAAAAAAAAACTAGTCAAAGGGAGAAAATAAACAAAAGAAATTATTTAAATGTTGACGGGCCCACAAACACTAAAGAGGGAAAAATAATGGATACAAAAACAAACAGCAAGAGGCAAATTAGAGGGAGGAGAGACGAGAGAACATGGGAAAAGTAGAAGCCCTCTGAGAATGAGGGGTTTTTAAATCAGAAAATTGTATAGCCTTATTAGTACATCGGATCTACGGGGTGTTTTCATTTGAGCCACAACCTTTATTTTAACCTAAGTTATTTCCTTACTTCCTGAATTTGGCCACATTGTTTTTCCTGGGATCTTTTATAGTCCGTGACCAAATTCTTAGTGATATTTACTCATACCAAAGGCAAACCAATAAAATCTCTAATTTTTTAGTCATTTGATTTCCCCTTATCCAAGAAATCCTAAAGAGAGACAACAGTAAAGAATCTCAACAGCTTTGAAAACATCTCCTTCGTAGGCCTTGACTTAAATGAACTCCCCAAAATTTCTTCTTTTGTAAAAAATAAAAATAAAAATTGTGCTCTACAGGACCTTGCAGTTGGCTGTGTCCATAAGGGGACTGAAAAATACATGACTTTTCTTGGTGATGAACCAGAATAACCAGAGAGCTATATTGTACCACTGGAATTCAAAGTACACTGACCACACACACACACACACACACACACACACACACGTTTATTCTGATATACCTAGAGGAGGGTGAAGGTGCATTTTGTAAAATATTCTCAGATGATTCTAATAAACCAACCCAACCCCCACTGAGGGCCACTGTTTCAAGTCTGACGCCACCACCTTCCCCGTCTCCACCTGGATTCAAAACCCTGCTTCCAAACTGATAGCCTGTGATACATTCTAGTTCTAGCACTGCCTTTAACGTTACGCTGCGAAACTGCTTGGCTTCTATTGCATCTTCCCACTCTTACTAAAGGCACTGCGTTTTATGTAAACTGGCATTTCTAATGCTGATGTTTCAAAATGCTGGTGATTCTTTTTAAATCCTTGCAGGTGATGGGTTTAATTCAATTAATTACTATGATTTCCTCTTTTTTTTTTTTTTTTTTTTTTAGAAAAGGTAGTCGGGTCTCTGGCTACATCTGACAGCTAACTCCCAAAACTTCATCTTCTAAGAAAAACTATATATTTTTAAAAGTGGGGGAACATTGCAATTTTCCTCCCTGAGGAGCCTCATAAGCGTCCCAGCACTC